AGAAAAGCTGAAATTATCTCATATGATGTACCAGTAGGTACAAAAGCTGTCAACCAGGAGCATAAAGGCAAAAACCATGAAGGAGAGCTCAAGGTACAGAGAGCCTCATTAATCCCAAACTATTATCCTGTCCATCCTTTAGGCAGAATTGCCAGCCCCTCCATGGAAATAGCTCCCAAAACAATCACCAGGTGTTCATGAAATAACTTCAGTCTTAAAAAATACACGTTTTATAAGCACTTTGTCTAGACAGCGTGTTTATCCATGGAAACCCCCAAGAAACTAAGAGGAGAAAAATATTCTTAAATTGAACAGTATTATCCAGATCACGTCCTGTCACAAGGTCATTTCTCTGCACATTCTTGCAACCAGAGAAGAAACACCGGGCCTTCAGCTCGGGTGCTGCTCTTCATCACTAGAGGGTGGGTGTTTGCTGTTCCCATAAAAGCAACAATTGAAAAAAGATGTATATATATATATAAAGTTATACTTAATATTAAGTTAAGTAAAATCATTTCTAGAAAGAGATATGATTTTTTTCCCCATCGCTAAAATAGAGCTTGCTTGTTTGTTTTTAGAAAACAATTTCCTAAAGGTAATTAATTCAGCTACATTTTTACAAAGAAAGCAAGCTCCTCTCTTCTCTCCAGTAGTGCTGTATGAAAGTACACAATCTGTAGCACAGAAAGAGCATCCACGCATCTTTGGCCTTAGTTTGGACAAGGAATTTTGCTGTAATTGTTGTCTCCAATGCAATAACCAGCATTTCTTTCTTGTCCTACTTCACAGAACCCAATCCTTATCCTGTTCAGTTCAGTATGAAAATTAAGATGGTGGTAAGATTTCCACCCATCATTATGGAGTAATACAGATAATCCCAGAAGCACCAGAAATTTAAAGGATCAATTTCAAAGAGGAATGACATGTACATCCTCCCTATTTTGCATTTCTCTTATTTTTGTTTAAAAAATAAACGTAGCAATGGCACGTTCACAAGTACAACTGAATAGCCCTGCTTTACCAATTTTGCACTTTATTATGAGCAAGCAACCTTACACTGGCAGAGACTGATAGTAGTCTGGACTATTTAAAGCATATCCCCTCATTGCTTTCACACCCATACAAAACAATCACCATAACGTTCAAACCAAAACAAAGACTATTTTTGTCACATCGCCACCACTCAGTGCCAGCAAGGCACTTACCGGCACTACAATTTACTGTTACATCATTTGAGGCCTGTTCGTAGGCCTCAAATGGCCTTTTTCACTGTCAACCTTCCTGCAAGGTGCATTGGGTCCCACAGATTATTATTAACGGTCTCAAATTGTACCAGGGTAGGTTTAGATTGAATACCAGGAAGAATTTCTTCACTGAGACGGTGGTCAAGAATTGGAACAGGCTGCCTGCCAAGGGAAGTGGTGGAGTCCCCATCCCTGGAGGTGTTTAAGAGACGTGTGGAGGTGGCACTAAGGGACACTGTTTAGTGACAGGACTCAGTAGGTCAGGTTGATGGTTGGACTTGGTGGTCTTGAAAGTATTTTCCAACCTAGATGATTCTATGATGCTATTCTATGATTATGACAATAATTGTGCGAATCCTTACTTTTGCTAGAGGTGAACAGATCCAATGTGAGATGGGTTTTTGGATTAAATAAGCAGAGATTTTCCCTGTGTACAGCTATTCCAAACATCTCAATAGAACATTGCACACTTCTTAGGAGGAAGGGGGAACTTGGGGACATTTTAGAGGCAGGGACAGAAAGGCAAAGCAGATTTGCAGGCTTAGTGGGAGGAAACAGATTTATATACCGAGAGTACCAACCCCAAAGTACTTATTGGGGAATTTACAGGATCTGCTGTTTGACTGAAAACGGTGCAAGCTTTCACCTCTACTGGCTGTATAAATCCCAACAAACACTTGGGAACAGGTTTTCTACTTTCATAGCAATTATGAGCCAAACTTTTTTAATTTATTTTTTTTAAAGAGTCCATTTATGTCTTTTTTTTTTTTGAGGAAGGAAAAAACAAGCATGTACACCTATACCTAGTTGAGCAGAACAAACACTTAAAAGTTAACTCCATCTTCCAAAGCACAGAAAAACATGAATTAACACACATTCACATCCCCAGTTCTTTGCTATGAAGCTTCAGTTGCAGCTTGCAAGTGCAAAACCACACATCGACAGTTTAACTTTCAAAGTTAAACAGATTCAAGGCATGCACAATTCTCTCCAAAATCTACATTTCAGACATAGTTTTACTTCTACATTTGCAGACAACAACAGCAAAAAAAAGAAAACTTAATGGACATTTTAACAAGAAATGTATTTAAGATTTATTCCAGTTTCAGAAAAATGATTCTTTGGATTAAGTAAGCAGTGATTTCTTTGCCAAATCAGCAGATGTTGACTGTCCAGATAGAGTTTATTTTATTTTATTTTGTGTCAACTAATTCTTCAGCAGTCTTAGCTCTTTGTGCAGGTGGTACTGATGCAACAGTGCAATTTGTAGCATCACATCCAGCAAGTGCTCCGGGTGCCTACTGACATCTTGTTTCCAATGAAGCAAAGCAGTGGGAAGGAAATGCAGTCAAAGTTTCTAAACAACTTAATCCTCAACACATGGAGAAGAGAAAAGCACTTCTCCAGCCAGGAAAACTTTCTCACAACTGATCGTAAAAAGCCTAGTTTGAATGATGAGAATAAGGTAGTATTCTGTCAAGAAAGTTACAAACATTTTAAATGAGATACAGACAGATTGGGGTTGCTGATGTTTTACATCTGCTCTTCTGAGGTATATTGGTCATGTCCAAAATAGGGCCAGTAAACCCAGATCTAGATCACAGAGTGCTAAAGATGATAGCTTTAAAATATATATTTCATATATGGAGACTATAAGACACTAAATCCTTATATCTAGGACAAACTTCTGCAATGGACTCACTATAGGTAAATATGTGCCATATGATGCTTTGGCTTCCTGCCCTAGCACAGACTGTCACAGAAGGCACCAAGTAAATATAAAGTTAAAGAGGAGTTTAAGTTCGTAAATCATAATTGGTTGAAATGATAACAAGCATTCAGTTTTTGTATTCTTGGAACACACAGAATAAACTGTCTTCAACGTCTCATACAGGTGCCTTGCACCAACAGGAGGGAACACTGCATTTTCCTCAATAGTACCTATGTTAACATCCATCGGAAATGACAAAGACTGAATTTTATCAAAGATGAAAGTTTAAACTATCTTCTGAATTTCAAGTTACTTATTTGCAAACATAAGAGCAAATATAATACCAAGTCTACCAACTAGCTTTCACATGATGTGGTCTAACCATAAGAGAATCTCCTAGGTTTCCCCTAGGCTAACTTGCAAGTAATATAAACTAAAAGATAGTTATTGCTTACATATTTTACAGGCTGGTTAACTGTGTTTTGTTTTCTGTATGTTTGTGGATTCTTAAATATGCATACTTATCTAAATAAATTCAGTTCTAGATTTCTTGAAAAATTAACTATTAATTTTTCTGTTGTTATGTAGAGTTTTGGCTCATTACCATGGCTGTACTTCTCTCACTTGAGCATTGGGTTAAATGAACAATTACTCTGGGCACTACAGGGCTGTTTTCTTGACAAGCCATGGATTTGAGCTGTTGTTGAAAAAGTCACCTATTCAAAGTTGTGCAGCTTAGGGGCCACAGAGTACTTTGTGTAGGGTATAGTTCAGTCATGGCCAGATTTGGTGTTTGCTTGTTTTTAAATTACTCACCAACTCTGGATTTTTATTTATTTATTTTTATTTTAAGTTTGAAAAAAAAAAAAAAACAAAAAAAACACTACTAAGTATCAGATTCACCAATCAACACGAGTCAGAGGCTTGGAAAGATATCCATCGTATACAGCCAAGAAAAAATCCAACACAAAACCTGGAAAATTTTTTTACTCTGAGGGTTGTGAGACCCTGGAACAGGTTGGCCAGAGAAGCTATGGATACCCCATTCCTCGAGGTGTTCAAGGCCAGGCTGGATGGGGCTGGTGGCAGCCTGGCCTGGTGGGAGGTGTCCCTGCCTGTGGCAGGGGGATGGAACTGGGTGGGCTTTAAGGTCCCTTCCAACCCAAACCATTTTGTGGTTCTGCAAATATCAAAGCAACAAAAAACAAAGCATTTCTTGGTCATTATGGTAAATTTCAGTGCTGAGCAGGCCTGAATGCAGAAAGATTCTGTGCTTTAGGTTTTTAAGGTCTTTCCTGACCCACTGAGAGACAGTCACATAGAGACATATCCCATCACAGACACATGGTTTCAAAGCTCAAACTGATGGACAGTTTACTGGAGATTTAACTAGATTTAAAAATAAATATCTTGAATCAATATTGTAGAGATTTCTGTTACTGCAAATACCTATCTTAGCACATAAACTATGGAGCTAATAAAAAGGGACTTCAGCCCTGAGTCCCCAGCCTGTGCAGACTACAAGACAAGGACAAACTAAACGCCCAGAAGAACAAAGAAAAGAGCTGCCTGCCCCGCTGCTGCAGCCAGCAAGATAAAAGACTGATCCCCAGCATAAAGCTAGAGCAGCCTCCTGTGAGCGCACTAAGCGGCTTGCCTACCCTGGGCCTCTGCTAGCAAAGGCTCCTACAGTACAGTGGTGACTCAGGTTTGAAGATTTCACAGGGGATTTTGCATGGGAAAGAGAAAAAGAAGTACTGCTGCAGAGACACCCCCAAGCCACAGCAAACAAGAAGCATCAGCTGACCCAAGAGCCAAGCACCAAGTGCCTGCAAGAACATCCCCAAGAGGCCTTACTGTGCGAGAGGGCTGGCATCACAGCCTCCCTGCAAAGCCAGAGGGCAGAGAGTGATGGAGCACACAACCCTTGCAGACACATTTGGTATCTTTTCTAACTCCACATATGGGGTTGGTTTCAGCTTAAAAAAAAAAAAAAAAAAAAAAAAAAAAAAAAAAGTCACATCAACAGAAGCATCTGTACTTACACATCCTCCAGCTTCACAGGAAAAAGATGTACCCTTCCTCCCATACACCAAAGCCAACACCATTCCATAAGCTGTTCAATTCAAACTCCAAGTACCAACTTCCGCAAAAGAGGGCACTTTCCTCCAAACCCACTTTCAAATACTTTCCAGGCAGATTAGCGTAAAACTAACCCACCTGTACAAGGTGGTAGAGAAGCACAGGTTGTGCTCATAAGCACAAACAGCAGTGGGAGGGGAGCAATAAATAAACACATCAGAAACTATGGCAGAGAAAAGCTGTCCTGCTTGCAATCAAGTCAGTGGCAAAACTCCCAAGAAGCAGTACTATATCCTGTGTCAACACCAAAGAGCTCAGTGCAATGATCTGACATTCCCCATGCTTTTCTGTACAGCTTCCTAAAAAAAGAGAAATTTCCAACATGTTACTTATATAGACTATCCCATATCTTAACAGAAATGCAAGAAAATTCATTGCGACCAGGCCCTGTGCTGTAACTCCCATCATATTTCAGTACAACAATAAATAAAAAAGAGAAAAGCCTTACATAACAGTCTTCATTCAAGACACTGAAATCTGCAGCGTCAAATCCATTTTATGTACTTTCAGTCACATAAAAGTAAAACCCTTTCCCCCAGAAGGAAACCGAAGATGGTAGAAAAAGGCAATGTTTTCCACTGGCCCATTTAACAAATGAAACGTTTACTTTCTGTTTGGTGTAAAGTGACAGCCAGCTTATTAGAGCTGACACTGATCCTCCCGAGAGGATTTCAGTAAGCAAGTCACACAGGTGAAGGTCAAAGCAGCAAAGGAATTAAATGAAGAGAGGAAGGAAGCGGCTTCCTCTTAAGGACAGAAATTAGCTAACAAAAAGCTGTTACTTACAGGGCCCTGGTTGGAAATACAGCAGCTGCAAAATGCTCTTTTCTCTTGAAATGCCTCCAAGCCAATTTCTGAATTTATTTTTTTTAGACCTGTCTCTTTTCCAGCCACCAGCGCTCACCTGCAAGAAGGACACCATGAGTGGATGGTTTGGTGCCGTGTCTCTGCCTGACTTACACAGCATCAAAGGCAACACCTATAATATTTGTGCTTAGGCATCATGCATCGCTGTTTACATATATGAGAAGGATAATTAACACTTCTCTAAGTAAATAATAAGACAAATGTAGCCTTGCTCTCAGTGAGTTTTAACTCCCCCACAAGGCATGCACAGCTGGCTGGAGAGAGCTGAACGTGTGCTCTGGCTGTACTTGGCAGACCTTTGCTGCCCCAGAGGAATTAAAAGTTTAGCCAAGAGACGATTAGTTTTCACCCAGGTTTACTTAGAACTCCTGTGTTTGCCTCCCCAGGCCAGGCCATGGCCCCCTGCCCTGCAGTAAAAGCTGGAGAGGGTGGGGAAGGAGGTGTGCATCCCCATGAACTTAGATGCAGAGTTGGAGACAGAGGGTGTAGGCCCGGTGTTTGGCTCTGCAAAGAAATAGGGATTTGAACCCTGGCAGCACAGGAGGTCCTGCCTTGGGCAAGGTGCAGTGTTTCGGTGTGGTGAACCCCAGTGGGGAGATGCAGACAGTCCGATCTTTGTTCCTTTTAATGTTTGCTCTTTGGCTATAACAAAATGTTCTAAATTTGGTAAATTAACAAAGAGTGACACAGGGCAGGTGTATTACATGTGTCACAACTGCCCCAGCAAAATAAGAATCAGAAATCCAGCTTTCAAACCACTCCTAGCAGATTTGAGGTGATTTGCCAGACTATCACATTTTTGTTTGGCAACACCGCTTTATTATGCTAATAAGATCAATACTGGAGTGCCTGGGTGTCTAAGGTACACTCAGAAATATGCACGTCAGAAAGATGAGACCTGAGAAACTTGGCATAGTTGTGAAGTTCTGCAGAGTCCCGGATCTTTTCATCTTTTCTATTCTAGTTTCAATCCTGACACTCTGGATAATATCCTAAGCTTGACCACATCTCCATCAAAGATCCTGAGGAACAGGTATATGTGATCAAACTTGAACTGGCTCTAAATTTCTATGAAATACCAGAGAGGAAAGCTGCTTGCATACTATTCACACGTAACACAGAGGACCTATTCAAATAAACAGGCTGAGATAGAAATGAACTAATAACTAGCTCTAGCTCTAATCTCTTTTAAAGGTCACAAGCTGACTAAAGTGTTTTCAATATAGTTTCAAGTATTAGCCTACCCCAAATCTGCAGATCTCCTTGTCCCTGTGCCTGGGACCCTGCATGAGGTGCTTTCCCCTCCCTGCAGGAGATCAGGCCTTCCCAGGCCTTTCTTTTTTTTTTTTTGGCTCTCACTTCTGCAGTGTGGGCATCTTTCACCAGACCACCTGCATCCTGCTCTCTCTACCCCATGGACCTTGCTGGAAAAGTTAATGGCTAATTGCTACTTGGGTGGGAAGGAGGAAGGGAGAAGAAATGTTCTTAAGGGATGAAGACAGCAGTATCTAAGCCCAGCTGAGGTTTTTCCTTTCGTAGTTTTTCCTTTGTACCTATCAGAAGTTCACTCAGTTGGGTGCTCTGTGCAGCTGGCCCAAAGCAATCTAGCATTCACTAGACGACCTACGTAGTTCAAAGAGACTCATCCAGCAATCAGGAAGACAGCACAGGTACTCACCAGCTGAGTTTCTTTTTAGATAGCACCACCACCTATGACACTGTTAGGGACCCTTGTGTAGGGCTACAGAAGACCCCCTACAGCACAGAGTATTTCCATATGGACCGGTGCCACCCATTTTATAGGCCATTAAGACCAGATTGCCACATGGGGAGATGACTGGAGAATGAAGAATGCAGTTAATTGGGCCAGGTACACAGGAGGAGAAAGAAAGTTGGCACGAGGTTGGTCCCACTACTCTAGCTGATTGCACTGGTAGTAAACCTTGCACTCCTAGACCACATTTGCTTTCTGGGCCCAAGAAAAATACATGCTTTTTTCTGTGTTCATTCAGTCAATACGAAGACTGGTACGCAACGCATGGGGAAGAAAGAAAAAAAAAAAATCTTTCTGTGGCTGCACCATCCTGTATGTGCCTCTCCAGCAACTTTATTCAGGCCTGTGGTATTTCCTCTTTCAGCACTGTAACTTTCTGCCAGAAATGACACGTGAAGTATTTGGAATTCAAAAACCTAAACAAAAAGGTGAAAAGTGAAAAAAACACAATAGCACACAATGGAGTGATAGCTGTAAAGAGAACAAGAGCAATGTCTGTGGCCTGTGGCCTTTGGAAAAAGAAAAAAATATATATGTTGACCAAAAGGTGACTGCCAATAAATATTAATAATAAAAATTCTTCATTAGATATTGCATGTCTTAACTCCATTTCCTTCAATGCTTTATTACACAGTTTACCTTGTATGACACCACTGGAGAATCAAAGCCACCCCAAAGACTATAAGAGTGTATAAAAGAAAAAAAGAAACACTTTTGATTTCATCTTTACCGAAGAGGAGGAAACAAACTTCTGAGGATAGTAAAGTGTTCAAAATGTGTGATCAGTTTTTCAGCCTTCCAAGTATCCTCCCTACATACAATCACACAGACCTACCAAATTCATAAAATACTTCATTTTTGTCACCTCCTAGAGGTGCAGCATAATTTCAAGCTCCAACACAGTGTGCAGGATTTTTGGTCAGATTTTCAACAACAAAATTAAAACCAAACTGTCAAAGGACTAAAGTACTGCAACATAAAACTGCAAAGATTTTTTTGAGTGAATATTGTACTTCTGTGTCAGCCAATTCCAGTGATACCCATCATACATATTCACCCATATGCATACATCTTCAGATTATAAAACCCCAGATACGGCTGTTGCTAGCCAGTGTATTTATATTCTGAAAATTAAAATAGATTTTATCTTATTCTAGCATCTATCAGCCTTGACTTTAAACCACATGCTTCACTTAGTTAAATAGCTGAGGGAAATAAAAAGCAGGAAATACAAAATATTTTCATGAAAATGGCCCTATTTTAGGAGGAACCTGGTACAACTGTCTTTACAGTGCCAGCATACTTCCATACCCCATCTGCCGGTAAACCACTTTAAACAAAAAGCACAGATATAACATTACAGCTTTTTTCAGTCAGTCTCTATAAATTGCCACATGTGCAACTGAGAAAAAGTATCTATCCCAGTAATAGCTTTCCCTTTCCAAGAGGAAATATTTGCATCAGTATAAGCAAGTTTTAGAAATACAGAACTAAGTGCCGAAGGGTTGAGCTATGATCACTTTCCACTGACTTCAGAGATAGGACTGCTTAGCTAAGATGAAGATAGGGTTCAAAATAAAGGAGTGGGATAGAAATTTATGCAAAGATACTGAAACACAAGTCCTGGACAGCAGAAGGAAGCATTCTGAAAAAGTATGTTATCACTACACATTCACCTCCTTGTGCACATTCAAAGCATACAAAAATTCCCTTTCAAAATGCATTGACAGAAAAAGTTGCTCAGCTGCCTAAACACCACATTTACACACTCCCTGCTCTTGCAGAGTGTCAGTGTGGATCTAATCTCACAGACAAATCAGAAGGCTATGGACAAATACTATCACCCAACAATAATTACCATTTGTTCTCATTTTCCTTCTGTATACACCGACAAATATGTTTTCTCTGCTTTTTCAGCTGAAGCAGCCAATTACCTGCTGTGCTTTGTAAGCTCCCATCCACACTCCCCAGGAAATGGATAATGTGCTGTGCTGCACTGTGGGGAGAGCACACTCGGATGCAAAATAATTCTGAACTTACTCTAGTAAAGTCTCTCCGCTGCATTCGCAGGCTGAGCTATGTGTTAACCATATTTATTCACCACTGAAAGACTATATTTTACAGTCATAACCCTGGCAAATACTGTGCATTTAAATAATTCTACTCAGCCACACAAAGGGGTTTATTCTTCTAGCACAGCTGTACACAAAAGAATAGAGTGCCATTTGAAATCAAAACTCCTGAAGTTACTACTTACCAGCTTGTGATTATATATTCAGTAAACCCGATGAGCTGAAAAGATTTTGTTGCAGAAGACAAAAGTTACAAAAAAGCAGGCAAAGTTAACAAAAAATGAATGAAAACTAGCATAAATCCTCTCTTCATTCATCTACTTAAATATTCCTGAAGACTAAAAGGACCTT